TCCCATTTCACAGGGCCAATGAAAAAACAAAGCGTTTCATGCACAAAGGAGGAGGACTGACAGGCACACTTCCATCAGCACAGCCAAAGTCCCTGAAGAAGCTCATTAAAGATATTTTCAAAGAAAAAGATGCTCCAGCAACATATGGCATGTTTCATTAGCCATGTCAAAGAACATGCTGGCTTCAACCACCACTACTTACCATCTTAGCGGCCAAATGAAGAAGGGTAAAGATAATGGGAAGATTAAAAGATTTGGAACTAAACCATTTTGGCAAACATGAAAAAGATGACCACCATATACAGATGAGGAATTCATCACCTCTTCACAGTTTTCCCCTCATTTTAAAAGTTTATTGTTAAGTAGGCCAAACCCTTTGTTCACCACAGGAACGCAGTACATGGGCCAAAGCTGAAGACCGTCTCTCAGTCACCAGAAGAAAACCTTTCAACCACGAGGACTTTCTAAAATTAACAGATTTTAAGTTGAGAAGCAACTATTGTGACCAGCTACTCTCACCTCCAGAAAAACATCAGCCACAGCCACCAACTCCCAATTCAAACCCTTAACTTCTGATTCAGCTAAAACAGGGTTGCCAAAGAAGAGACAAGCGCCAAATTTCATGTATAATTATGAGCCATAGGCTATGGTATGAATTCAGGACTACACATGGTCCACGAGATACAGCTGGCCAGCCATCAGCATTAATAGGTTAGCCTAGTGATCAAAGCAAGAAAATAGCCTTTAAGTAGCAAATATTTTAGTTTGTACCTTAATGTCAGCAAGAAAACATGCTCTTCTTTAAGCCACTACTATTTCTGCTTCCTGTTTCTCTTCTTTCCATATAACCATTAAAATTTCTTGTCCTGTTCCTCTCTCTCCATATAAGCAATCCTTTGGTATGAAACTTCATAGAAAGTTACTTGAAATGACATTTGACTTTTCGGTAGTTTTCTTACTTTCTTTTACTAATTTTTTTAAACAAAAAACATCTGAAATTGATGCCTTGTTAAAATTTGTGACAGGCTAGAGTTGTGATTGTCTTAAAACACATGTATGTGAACAAAAACTAACAGAGGTAAATAGTAGATCTGATACAAAGGGTAGCTTTAGTAAAGACACTTGTAGAATTAAAGGTGGGTTTCCCCCCTCCCCCTTGTTATTAAATGAAAATGTACTCTCTTGGGATAAGAGAGAAAAATAATCTCAAAGAAATGCTGTCTCCTAAAATGATTTCCAGTTCTTACTGCTTTTGATAGGACAGCGCAACCTGCTTCCCACAGTTAAGATGGCCACTGTGCCCCACATACCTAAACGAAGGAACTAAAATAGTCCGTGGCAAAGATGGCCACCATCTCTCACTGTTCTCAAAAAAAGGAGAAACCAAGCTACCTTTAAGGAAAGTGGCAGTCCCATAGGCTATGCGGAGCAGGTGAATATGAAAGTGAATCAGATAGAGACAGGGAACATAAAGGAATATGGAGAAGAGCCATGGGGGGAGGAGGCACATAGGAGAATACAGATAATTATAGCACAAGAAAGTAGAGAATAGAAGCATGGAAGACCAGGGGCTACAGGGAATATCAAGGAAGAATGCAAGTGGAGCAGAAGACTGAGTAGAACAAGGATCAACAGAAGCAAAGAAAACATAGGCCACAAAGAAGAAGAGAAAATGAATGACAGCTCATCCATGCCAAAAGTTGGAAGCCATCTTGCAAAGCACATTTTTGTCTACACCTTTAAAAGGTGAACACTGATTCGGAAGGTAGGACATAAAACAGAGGGTGGGGGTATTCCCACTGTAAAACACCAAATGTCACATGGGTAATCTCAGCATTTTAAAAGCCTGCTAAGTTTCATTGCTTTAATTTTTCAGTACTTATGTTTAGCAAAATTGCTTCTATCACCAACCATCATTCTTTACCCACTTGTACTGCCCACTTTTCTTTTCACCCCACAGACTGCTTCTTTTAGCCTTAGAACAGTCTGCCTCCGGCTGACACACACACACAAAATCCTCCATAGTTCAACAAAGGAGGTCCCCTGCGGTGCACAACAGGAAGTGTGTCAGAATCCTTAACCGGCTTATTACTGGCTCAGAAACAAAGGTTTGTGCTCCAAAGGCTACAGAGTTAAAGGTAAACTAATAGACAAGCATCAAACTACTTCAAAAGTGTTCACAACTAATAGCATTGTGATGAGATATTGTGGTGAAGTGGGAAGAAAGTAGAGGTAACCTGATGAGTCTGGGGAGGAGAGGCATTTTAGTAAACGAGATCCTGCAAGGTAGGTTAGGTAGACTTAAGGCAAGTCTTACGTAAGGTAAGACCTCTGCCTCTGGGCAACAAAATAGACAGTGTAACCTGTTCAGTAACTTAACTTTTATTTTTTCTAGCTTTTCTGGGGTTGTACCAGCTATATCTATAATAAAGTAACTGTCACACTTTCTTTTTCATGGCAAGAAAAAGGAAGAAGAAAGCTTCTAATTCAAATCTCAACAAAGCAGTTAATTTAAAATTGTGCACATAATACAAAATAGTTTGACAAATTGCTAGTTTCTGGGATCTTCCATGACTTTTGAGGCAAACCTAACATTTATCTTTACCATGTGCTCTTAATACCATGTTTTAATTCTCATATTTTGTTAAGAGTTTTAAGATTTAAGATCCTTAGAATTTTTTTTGGAATAAACATGAAATCAGATTGACAGCATCTATTACAGGCTGAATTTCTATACCACAGGTCCACAAATCTTAGATTTGGACCTAAATACTGACAGATATTTAGGTTAGGTTTAATTTTTAACCAACACAATTATACTGGCATATCCCAAAGCATGGATGCATTCACACAAGTAAAACAGTGGTGCCCAACATTGGCATAGCTTACTCTTGTATAGCATGAAAATATTAATATAAGCAGTTTTATAAATTTTTGTAGCTATTCTTCTGACTAAAGGAACTGTATCACTTTAACTGTACTAAACCTGGGTGTAGACAAGCTCAACCTGCCAGCCTATTCTTATGTTACTTTTCCATATTGCACTATTATTGGACAGGTTGGACAAAACTCAACAATTATTAAAAAAAAATTAAAAAAAAAAATCAGATTTATTTTATTTAATCGCATTTTTAAGATGCATTTTCTTTTTAAATAAGCCTATATAAAGATAGTTTTCACTTCAGATACGTTAAAGTTCAAACATATCATCATGGAATAGGGATTATAACTTCTAATCATATACTGCTTGAGACACTATATTCATGTAACCTTTTTAGAAAAGTTTTATAAATAGGTCACAACAGGCCATGAACTGTATCAGGGGCCCAAGTGTATGGGGTTCCCAGAGGCTCCTCTACTGATTAGTAAAGATCAAAGAAAACCACTGTACCCAATAGGAATTGGTGATCAGTCTAGAAGATCCCATTAAGCATCTCTGTGATGCTTAGTTTCAGTTCTCAAACTCTGGATTCATCTCCAGAGATAACATCCTTGTTGACAGCAGTATATGGAGATGAGAGATAACAGGCCTGAGCAGCAGGGCTATGCGAAGCTTTGGGTGGTGATTTGATTCTGAGGAGATTTGGCCCTATTCAGGGGCCAAATCTCCCAATCCGAATTGAATCAGGGGACCAATTAAAAGGTCCAAATCAATGCAAAGATCCCCAAATCTTTGGCAAAGATTCGGAGAGCTCTGATGAT